AAACAAACTTGGGCTTCTTGCTAGTTGATCTCAGCAGCCATGGTCAATGAGAGTTGATTGGCAAATGTTCTAGGAACAGCTAGAGTGGCATGTTTTCCTTGCACAAATGAGATTCCATACCAGCCAGCGACTGCATGTTTACGATGGGTGATTTCATTAATTAATTGATCATGGGGTGAGTCACAATCGTCTTCTTTCACTGGGGAAAAATTATACTGTAATTGTGGGACAAAGCTATACTTCATGAGCAACTATTCAGCCTCCTGTCCTCCTCCTTTAGAAGTGTTCAGGTTACTATACACCCTAAAGAAATTCCCATCAGAATGTTGTGAATAATTCCTTGGGGGCTTCAACAGAATGATAACATAGCTGTACCTCTGACGTGAAAGCAAAAGGACTCCGAAAATTTGGTGTTGTGCTCTAAACTTTTTGGTTGCAAAAATAAACGGTGCCATCAATTCAGCTCTCTGCTAGACCCTCTCTGGTGGGAAAGTACATTCTCTTTTTCAGACTGAAAACTCCTTCCTCAAAGAGCTCTTCCCTGCATGAGCCATGCGTGCAACAACTAGTGTGGTTTAAAAGAGCTCACTGTGGGTCTAGCAAGCAATTTCCATACAGGAGTCTAGTTCCTTTTCTATGTCAATGACTGTTGGCAGCATTTTGCCTTCTCTAAACCAAAACAAAAACATTATACCAAAAAAGTTTGGCTTTTTAAGGAAGGATTTTCATACAGGTAAAGCTTGTACTGAATACTGAATTACTATCATTTCAAATGCCTGTTTTATTTTAAAGAGGTATCGATGGCAAAGTTGGGGGGGGTGTTTTAAAATTCTGAAGTTATATTTAATTTTACTTGAAATGTCGGGTGGATGGTTGAGGAGAGTTTCCTATTTACAATCAGGTGAATAGGAAAAATGTGACTTGTAGATTGGTCATGGTGTTGCCTTCAAGGGAAACCAAGGTATAGCCTGAACCAGGTCTGGAATTGGTCAGTGCCTGGATGGGAGGCCTTCTGGGAGCTCTGTGCCTATTGCCTTAAGTTCCATGATAGAAGAAAGGCAGATATAGAGGTAATAATAAAAATAAAGGGAACAGGCTATGCATTAGTTGTTTGAGGCAAAGAGTGCAGACCCTCTAAATTGTAAAACAGACAGTTCAAGAAACATGGAACTATTTGGTAACTGCAGTGCTAGCATAGATTACCTCCATGAACGTTCAGGAAGCCACTTGAACTATCTGGGTATAAAAATGAGATCCTGATATGGCAGAATATGTAGCTCTTGCTATGTAAATTATGTTTTGTTCTCAAACACCACCTCAACTGAGTATCTACATTTCTCATAGTCCATCTCTTTGGGTACAATCTTATTCCAGTAGCAATCCCTGGCCAAATGACCACTGATTCAAATGGAACACAATTGCGGCCCTAGTGAATTCATTATTATAAACTCAGGCTAGAATGGGTACATTTACTTTAGCGCTCCCTTGAGTATAAAATTTGGCCCCCAACTAATGGGCTAGACTGGGAATCCTAGTAATGAAAAGGAAATCTGGCAAATGCATCTCAGCACGAGATCTACTCTGTTAAATTTCTCTCCCAATAAAAACTTTTGAGGGTTTTTTCCAGTTTAATGGGTTACATGAGTAAACATACAACTGTCTTTTCATGTAAATTTAAAAACACCTTCAAAATTGTTCTGAGGTACAGTAATGTGTGTGTGATGTCAAAATAATATTCAGGAATTTCCCATTACGTGCAATCCTAAGAAGAGTTATATTCTTCGCCCTGACCTAGATAGCTCAGGCAAGCCCAATCTCGTCAGATCTCAGAAGCTAAGTAGGGCCGATCCTGGCAAGTATTTGGATGGGAGGCCTCCAAAGAATACCAGGGTTGGGAGGCACAGGGAGCCTATCAATCCACTTCTCTGAATGTCCTCCATGCCCCAGTAGGAGTTGCCAGAGGTCACCATGACTTCCAGACACAAAATACAAAAATATGAAAAAAAGAATTACACTCTTCTAAGATCCAAACTAGTTGATGCAATTTTAGAGAGGATTTTGGCCATTTAAAAATGCCCTGAGCCCTTGTGGCATTTCTAATTAGCTAAATTCTTCTCTAAATAGCATTGGCAGCCATGGGTCAAACCCCTAGCTCCTGTAACATCTGGTTTGGGCCCAAGTCCGTTGAAGTCAATGGGTCTAGAAGGGTGCAACTTTGCTTACGGTTGCACTGATAGTCGTACTAAAACTGACCATTTTGACAATACTTGTCATGTTTTGGTGGCTAGTTTTGTGATTTCCAAGATACAGCTTGAAGCGCTACAGAAAGTAGCCATAGAAAGTTAATAGTTAGTACACAACCTTAGAAACTTTGGGTAGTTGCCATTAAGACTGAAGTGTTCAGGCAGGCATGTTCCATGAGTTAGCCGACTGGTAATGGGAACAGCTTCCCTAACGTCACTGAAACATAAAGGTTCTATGAATAAAGATGTCCAGTTACTTGTTATGAACATATTCTTGCCAGTTTGTATGCAACCTATGTACATGCTGTATTATTACTCAAGAAATCTGTGCTTTTTCTTTTTAATCTGCATTTTTCTCCTTCACCAATGCTGTACGTCTCTAATTACAGATTTATTCCAGGTCCACCTGATTCCTAAAGATGCTGGAGATCATCGTGACATTCATTTATATGTTTTACTGTGAATTTTGTAGGGATGGCGTGGGCTGATGTCCCCCAGTTTTGATTTCCTGCACTCTTTCTTCCTTTCCCAATGCACCAAGCTCTCTATCAGTGGGATAATAAATGAAAGTCTGCCCTCCTTGTTATAAGTGTCCACTTTTACAGTAAGCCTATGTTCCATGTTGTGCATGGAAACATCCTTTGTGTATTTCAGAAATCCATCTTATTTCTTTCTAACTCCACACTCTTTCTTTTTCTGCCCCAAACATTGTGAAATATAAGTTAGATGACATTTTTAAGTTCTGAGAGCTATATCTGGACTGCACTGTAAAGTTCAGAAGGGAACTCTCAGTTAGTATCTGGCCCAGTTATGGGTTATATGGCCATTTCTCTTTCTGATTCTTAAACCATGTCTTTCTATTGCCAGTGATGGAATCTACTGCTCTTCCCCTCCCTACTTCTTTCTTCCTGTAAAGTTTCCTGGGAACTCAAACTTATACTTTACCCATGACCTGATCTTCCCAGTGCTAAGAATAGCAACCACTGTGCCACTTGGGTTCAGTCTCTCTGAAAACAGTCCACAGCTGGAGAAACGTGGAAGTCAGATGGGCCCAAACTTATGTAAACACCCAAAGATATGGGTGTGTGCTGTTTCTTAAGATTACAGAAAAAGTGAGGATAATTTTAGAGCAGGATGTGGAGAAAGGAACTTTCGCAAGCCATGCATTATTGTCTTGAAAATAATTTACAATCAATATCCAATTTGTTGTCGAAGGCTTTCACAGCCGGAGTTCATTAGTTGCTGTAGATTTTCCGGGTTGTGTGGCCGTGGTCTTGGCATTGTAGAACCTGACGTTTTGCCGGTAACTGTGACAGGCATCCTCAGAGGTATAACACAGAAAGATGGAGTATTCTCTGTGTCAAGGAGTCCCTTGACACAGAGAGTACTCCATCTTTCTGTGTTATACCTCATATACCTCTGGGGATGCAAGTCACAGTTACTGGCAAAACGTCAGGTTCCACAATGCCAAGACCACAGCCACACAACCTGGAAAATCTACAGCAACTAACAATATCCAATTTTTTGTCAAACAGAAGGCAAAACAATCTTATTTTTGATTTGTATCAACAATAGAGATCAGTCTATTAATGAGTAGTTGAAATTCACATTCATTATGTAACATGAAGTAGCTGGTTGAAACATGGCAACTCTGATTATCCATTTAATTGGAAATGTTAAAAATTGGTTGGGGAACAGCCTTTCTGAAAGCTAGCTTATCAGCTGTTGGCAAGGATGACCCCCTTTTACATAATTATGTAGGCTCTTTTTTTGCTCAGTACTGACCTTCCTCTTGTACAAGCTAGTGTGAGCTTATTGGTGTCACCCATAATATAATACTGTTCCATTTTAACGGATTCTGAGCATCAGCTCTCAAATGACCCTGGCTTCTGCTGCCCTTCCCCAATCTCAAAATAGGGAACTCTACAACCCAGCTTCCATCCACTGCATGGAACGTTTTAGAGCTGTGTATATAAAACGTAGGGAGCATGTCTATCTTCTGTGTGTGATGCCCAGCCAGTGAGCCCCTGAGCTGCCCATTTGTCAGCCTACAACATTCCTATGCCTGCAGTGATCATAAAAAATATCCTCTTTGTGCTGTGTGTAAACAGAGCTCCATGGGGATTTGCATATCACATTGCAGTTCAATGTAGTCTGGTACAGGAAGAATAGAGCACTTATGACGCAAAAGAAATCTATGAAATAAAATAAAACATCCACATCTATACTTAAACTGAAGGTAGCTACAATATGTAGTTAAGCATCTCCCATGCCACAACGGCTCAGTGCAAATCAACCTTGAGTCTCATCAGAATACTGCCCCGGTCTAAACCCCCCCAAAACTATGGCTTGTCTCTCTGTTCTCATGCTGTGAAACTAAAGCTGCACTTTTAGTTCTACCACAGTTGAACTACAAGTACAGGCCTAATGGCTATGCAGACAAACTAAATATATAATACTCCCTGACAGAAGAAAAATGGCTGAGCAGGGGAACAGAACTTAAGGACCATTGCATCCTGCAATTGGCACTCACACAGATAGTTCTTACACTTATATAAACGTCTGATCCCCTTGATTTCAATGGGATTGCATGTTTGAGTGATGCCAACTTGTGGGGCAAAGTCCAGCCCTTAGCTATCTATTACTCTGAAGCCATTTGGTGGTACCAGGGCAGTAATTCTAATGCCAGTTTGAACTGTTTTTGTCTGTCTAACATACCTTTTTAATCCCCATCCTGCCTGCCCTTTCCTTATGTAGGGTTACTTTAGTGATCCTTGGAATGTTTTTGACTTCCTCATCGTAATTGGCAGCATTATAGACGTCATTCTCAGTGAAACTAATGTGAGTATTACTCTACCCTCCCTAGGATGCCACCAAATCTTCCTTCTACTCTTCCTCCTCCTGTTTCCTCCTTTTTTGTTCTGGTTTATGTTTTCTTCCCTCTAGTCATGCTTTTATTGAACTTGCCGTCGTCCTTCTCCCAGGGGGAAAAAAGAGGGGGGTTATAATGCCTCCTTCTTTTTCACTCGTCACAGCTGTGACTGGTGAAAGTTCAGTTAGGGTGACATGTGCTTTTTTCCTGTCAAAAGACAAAAAATAGACATGTTTGAGTGTAACTTTCTTAACTAACCAGGCTTTTGTTGATACCCTCCATCACGTTACAGAGGTTTGAGCAGCCAGTACTGTAGAGTGGTAAGAATCTCTTTAATATGCCCACGTAACCTCTTTCTTTTCTTATTTTTTTTCTCTTCTCTCCCTCTTTCACACTTTTTTATTTTTGTTTTTCTTTATTTTTATATCTCTCCTTTTTTTTCTTCTCTCTCTCTCCTCTCCTTTGTTTCTTTCTTTCTCCTTTCCCTCGGCTTCTCTGCCACATGCAGCACTATTTCTGTGATGCATGGAATACATTTGACGCCTTGATTGTTGTGGGTAGCATTGTTGATATAGCAATCACCGAGGTGAACGTAAGTAGCTGGCGTCTGTCCATGAATGTGCCTGCTCTTAACATTCATTTGTCTCTTCCGGTTCTTTTAATCTCTTCTTTTTTATTCTCTTCCCTTCTTCTCCCTCCCTTTTTATTTAAAGTTTTTTTTAAGGATTGCTTTCTTCAGTTGTTCTGAATATTTTTGTTTTGTTTTTGCTTGTTTCTTTAACCTTTGGAACAACTTTGAGGATTTTCTGATTGTTGCATCATTTTCTTTCCCCCATAACCAGCCTGGCATGAGTAAAAACTGTATAGTAGGAAAGTCAATGAGAACTATGTGGAGTGAGCACACAAAAAGCAGGTCTGCATCCTAGAAGGCTGCAAAAATAGTCCAAGTTGAGGACTGATTCCTTAAAGTTTTGCCAGACTTGCCACTTCACAGAGATCTATAGGGCAACTCTTTCGAGGAGGAGTAGTGGGAACCATGTGTGGAATGTTCTCTGCCAGGCCTTCATAGTCCCAAGTTTTCCCCCAAACACAAACACCCAGAATCTCAAAAAACTACCTATGTTCCCTGCTTTTAATGTATCATATGGACTGAGATCCATTTATCCTTCCATTAATCTTCCTCTCACTGTGTGTGATAAAAAAAACCTGTACGGGGGAGGGGGGAACCTCTATCCAAAATGCATATGGGCCTAATATCCAATTCACCTCCTGCATGAACACCATCCGACACTTGATTGCTATAGTCCTCTTTCACCCTGCTGAGGAATTGTAAGGGACAGCAGGGGAGGGGGGACTGATGGGACATTCCCCCTCCTCTTTGTAAGAGGCATCTATGTACCAGTGAAAGGTGACAATGTCAGCCATTGGTTCTACATCTCTCCAACTGGTCTTTTTAAAGCCCAGTTCTACTCCTTTCACAGTAAACTGTCAGAGCTTATAGGTGGCCATGTTGACATAGAAAAAAATCCAAAAACAGCCATGTAATTCCTTATTATTAAAATATTTAATATTAAAATATTTTACTTGTTCATTTATTTATTTAAAACATTTATATACTGTCTCTTCAGAGACATGCTTGAGTCAGCTCACAAAATACAGTAAATCCTTCAAAGCATAAAACTACAATTAGCAACCATTAAAATCCAGCCAATGAAACCAGAAGCATAAAGTACATAAAAGCCCACAGTATAAAACATTTAGTGGCCAAAATAATTGTCATAATAACCTTAAAACTAGAAGCAGATTAAAATTAAATTAAACAAAAATTAAAAGACTTATAAAAAAGAAATATTTTGGCCTAGTATCTAAAATAATACTATGGTCTCATCTTTTCTTGGTTGCAGTCGCTTTGAGTTTCGCCCCAATTGTTTGCCCAACCACCTCATTGCCCAAGCTCCCTGGCAAATGAGGGACAATCTGAGTTTGGCAAAAGTGTGGTCCAGAACACTTGTCTCCATAGATGGGTCAACTCTGCATTCCACATGTCATGCAGGACTATAACAGAATTTTGCTCACCAGAAAGTTCCCAGGAAACACCAGAAACCCACTGAATTCATCAGCATCCTAGGGCAGGCCAACATAACCAGCTCCCGCTCTTACTTTGAGTTTCTGAAATCCAATGGACTAGGAAACTCAAAAAGTCACTGTTTTGTTGTATTTTGATTGGTCAGAAAAAGGTCTTTAGAATTTTCTATAGATCACCTTAGTATTTCGAGTCTTTGACAGTTTACAAAAAAAGCAACAGCACTGGGAGCATTCTCTAAAATAAAAGAACGCTCATAAATAGTAACTTGTAAACTATGGGGATGATATGCTTGGATAAATCTAATTGAGTAAATAATATTCAGTATATGAGATTTGTCAAATACATATCGCACTTCCTGTAGGTCAGCCCCATGATTTATTAGGAAAGCAGGGAAGTTGTAGTCTGTGTTCACAAAACTAATGACTCCTTAGCCCTTTTTAGTCACTTATTCTCATGTGCAAGGTGGCATATATAGTTAAAAGTGAGATTTTACTCTATCTTTGTTTAGCACATTTACAACTAAATAGAATCTAAGAAAATAGCAATATCAAATAGTCTGTCCTAATGAAACTGATTCCAAGAATTAATTGAATGTTGTTAAATATGGGAAATATGGGAGTTTTCAATTGGTATTGAGCTTGATCCAAAAAGTTAGCTGGGGCTCTTCTTTCCTGCATCGAATATCTCACAAATTTTACAAATGTCATTAATGATGGTTCTCTGAATCCCCTCTAAAGATTAGCCTCCTACTATACAGTCCCTACAGAATTCTGCACATGTCTTTTTATTATCTGGCATGTTTAAATCTTCTCTTTTTAAACTTTGCTATTAATTCCTAACATTTGTTACTAAGAAATTAATTGGTTTTGATTTTTTTCTTTTTGATTTTTTTTGCACAATATCTGATGCACTGATAATTGAAAATCAGTTAAGGATGGAGTTTGTTCTGAATTGTTTGAAATCCTCTTGCACTCATAACCCTGTTGAATAAGAGAATGGATGGTACTGTATGTTGATTTGTCTCATCAAAATACTCCTGCTGCTTGCGGCATTTGATAATGCAAACCATCACCCCAATAGATAGGCATTAGTAGCCACAGACTGGAAAATGTCCATCTTCCCAGATAAAAGAAAACAGTTTGTTGATCAGATGCATCTCCCTTTTGCCCTTCCCATTATGGGCGCTTTGTTGCTTTGCTCACCATTTGAAGGTCTGATCAAATCTGCCTTGTATGCCTGTGTGCTGACTTGTTTTGCATCAACTAACCCGGAGGGGATGGGAGGTGAGGGAGGATGAAAAGTCCCCACAAGCTCTACACAAGGTAGATTTTAACTGGATACCAACACCAAGAATCATGCACTAGCATCCTGATCAGTAGCAGATAGGCCTGTTTAAGTTACAGTAGAAACCCAGAAGCTGCTGCTTTGGGAGGAACTGAGAGCACTCAGGTTTGTTCCATAATGAAAGTGAACCCCTCTTGGCATGAGTTATTATGTCATGAAAGGTGATGGATGCTTTGAACAGGAACACTCTGTAAAGTCCATTTGGGACTTTGCCATGGAGATATAATTTGCCTGGGAAGCCCTTAGTTGCCAAAGCAATATAAGGCAAGTATAGGTAACACAAAGGTATTTATTTTAGTAGCTTATAGTGTGTGTGTTTGTGTGTTTACTTGTGTCTGCCTGTCTTTATATGTCATGAGCTGGAATTATTTTCAATTAGGAGGACCAAAACATTACTTAGAAGGTAGGAGGGACTACAAATTATACAGTAATTCTGGAACATAAGTACTTACAATGGAAGCCATACATTCTGAAGCCAGGGGAACTTGGCTGATAAGGCGATAATCTAGGAAGAGCAAGCCTTGGCACAGCTAAAGGAAGATCCAACATGTTTCATGAATGGAGACGTAATTCTAAAAGACTTTGATTCCTTGTGAAGTTCAGATAGTCTCTCTCACCTTGGGATCAGCAGTATAATTCATTACTTCTTCACATGAAAACCTGTCCCACAACAATACATACTTGCATCACATGTGTTATGCTATTACATCTGTTCACGGAATATATAGCTAAATGTAAAAACAAAGCAAGGTGAGTAGGGTGGCCAGGTCCTACCTTTTGCCGAGCAGGGGAGTCCTGGGCCCTTCATCACATTGCCGACATCGAAGGTGAACAGTTTGCCCAAAAACTAGAGCATCACACACCCCCGACATCGGCAACATGATGACATCACTTCCAGGTGATGTCATCATGACAGGGATGTCACACAGTGACATGTCTGTTTGGGGGTGGGGCTTCCCCAATGGCCAGCTAACCGGCGGCAGGCTGGAAATCAGGGGAGCCCCTGCCCCAACTGGGAGTCTGGCAACCCTAAAGGTGAACCACCCACCTGCCTCATCATTCCAGACTATGTTCAACTCCCTCTATCTGGCTCCCAGTCACTTTCCAATGCTGACTGAAAGCTGTGCCTCTGATTGATATTTTGGTATATCAGTAAACAAATAATCAGTAAACAAGCGCCAGCCACAATGCTGTTTCTTTTGAAATAACTAGCATCTTCAGTTTTCTTAAACACTAATGGCTAGATTCAGACTAACTGGGGATTTCTGCTCATTCTTCTTTCCTGCTGCAACCCCTCCCCCATGGCATTCCTCAGGGTCCCCTATCCCCCAGGAGAAGCATTTAATGGAGCTCAGTGGGCTGCAGTAGGAGGGAGGAGACAAGGAAGTCCCATTCTGCCATTGGAAAATTTAGTCTGGAACAAACTCTGAGTCTCAATTTGAGAAATATAAAGACTGTTGCAGTCCTACCAAAAATGCAGATTACAAAGCATACTTTTTCTGCTTCTTTCTCTCCTTTCCATCCACCAGCCAAGCACCT